CCCTCCCTCTCCCCCTCCCCCTCCCCCTCCTCCTCTTCCTCCTCCTCCTCCTCCTTCTTCTTTTGGTGCTGGTCCTGAGGCTTGAATCTGTCCAGGAGCTTTTTTGCTAAAAGCAGGCACACTATCACTTGAGCCACAGCTCTGCTTCTGGCTTTTTGGTGGATAACTGGCAATAAGAATCTCATTGACTTTTCTGCCTGGGCTGGCTTTGAACCATGATCCTCAGATCTCAGTCTCCTAAGTAGCTAAGATTACAGGTGTGACCACTGGTGCCTGGCTTAGTAGTCTTATCCTTAATGAAGAGCTAGGAAGAAAGCAACTTAAAACGATTTCTTTTAATATAATAACAATTTACAAAAAGCATTATGTTTTTAATAGACCCAAATATGTTATAAAAGAAGGTTGAAACCCAGATGCCCCACCACAGATGAACGGATCAAAAAACTGTGGTATCTATACACAATGGAATAGTATGCAGCCATTAGAAAGGACAAAATAATGGCATTTTCAGGGAAATGGATGGAGCTAGAAGGAATCATGTTGAGCGAGGTAAGCCAAGAGCAAAGAGACAAACGGTACATGGTCTCCCTGATAAGTGGATGCTAAATCCAAAATGTTAGGTGACACGACAAAATTAACAGGACTTAAGAAACAAAGAACTCCCACTCATCTGGTCGAACCACTACTAAATATCCCCATGCTGCTGATCACATGTATGGTGTATAGTGTACACCGTTATATGTTATAGACTGTGATAGACAATTTGCTCCAGGAAGGTGAATGAACTTGTGACTTTAAATGAGCATCATTATTCCACAATACTGTGAAATTTGGGAAATTATGTAATCACTTAACCACAATTAAAAAAAAAAAGAACCTCGGGGAAGGTAGGGAGGGAAGGGATGGTAGGGGGAAAACAATGGAGGGGGTAACAATGCTCAATAGGAAGTGTACTCATTACCTTGCTCATGTAACTATAACCCTCTGTATAGTATCTTTACAATAAAAAATTTTTTTAAAAAAGGAAAAAAAAAGAAGGTTGAGCCCAAATTACACTTCAGACAAATGAAACAGATTATGATCATTTGTTTAAATAAGCAAACTTTAGAATCCCTTTTATAAATCTTTGAGGTGGTCTCAGTGGCTACTTGAGTTAAATGACATCTTGTCTGTTTTTTTAGTGTGAGGCTGGGAACTCAATACCTGGCACTTAAGCTCATCGGGTAGTGCCCTATCAACTGAGCCATGCCGCCAGCCCTGATATCTTTCCTTTCTTCAGTCCAGATCTTGAAAGTTAACTTTGTTTTTTTTTTTTTTTTTGTCCATTGTGGGGCCTGAACTCTGGGCCTAGGCACTGTCCCTCAGCTCTTCAGCTCAAAGCTAGAGTTCTGCCACTTGAGCCACAGCACCACTTCCAATTTTCTGAGTGGTTTATTGGAGATAAACCACTTTCCTGCCTGGGCTGGCTTTGAACCACAATCTTCAGATCTCAGCCTCCTGAGTAGTTAGGATTACAGGTGTGAGCCTCCAGTGCCCAGCTCTTTATTGTTCTTTCTTTCTTTTTTTTTTTTTTTGAACTCTGGGTCTGGGCGCTGTCCCTCAGCTCTTCAGCTCAAGGCTAGCACTCTACTACTTGAGCCACAGCGCCACTTCTGGCTTTTTCTGCTTATGTGGCACTGAGGAATTGAACCCAGGGCCTCATGAATGCAAGGTAAGCACTCTACCTCTGAGCTACCTTCCCAGCCTGAAAGTTAACTCTTAAATGAGGCAACAAACACTCAAAAAGTAGATGCCTAAACAGAGCCAATAACCTAACTCCTCTGTAATTTCAGTCAAAGAGTCATTTCATGGCACACACATATGCACATAAATGTTTTAAGTGAATGTGCCAAAAATATCAATTTTTGCAAACACATGATGAGCTAAGAAAAATGTAAAGGTTAAATGACCATAGGTAGCTTGTCATTTATTTTTCTGGAAGTCATGGACAGACTAAGCTTTGCCCCACATTGTTTTAAACAAAATCACATACCCAGAAAAAAATTTCATTAACTTAGAGTGTATTAAATCATTTATTTTTCCAGAGATTGATAATAGACTAGTCAGTTAGAACTTATTTTAGGGGACACCAGAGTTAGTACTTTTGAATTTTTAAAATAAATTATAATAGGTCTTTTTAAATCTCTTTTTGTTTTGTTTTGTTGTTGTTAAAACACTCCTTTCCTATAATTGCTAGCAAAGTTGCTAACAAAAGGTAGAAGCTAGAAGTAGTTTAAATGAGTTCAAATGGTTTAAGAAATAACTGATGTAGGCCTAAAGAGGAAACAGAAAGGAAGAACCCCAAAATAAATGTCATTTTTGCAGCCCCTCATCTAGGACAAGCCTGCTGTAAGTGACTTATGCTCAGAGAGCTTATTGTATTTTTAGATTGCCAAAGTTGTAACTGGAGTTTTGGGCTAGAGGTCCCATTCTGGGGTTCCAAGAGATCAGGTTTGGTTATACATGATTGTAAAGCAAAATGAAGTTTGTCCCTCAATTGTCCCCTTAAAACTCCAATTCTTTTTAACATGAACCCAAAGAGAGAATTGTCAAGGATGTGGGCAATATCAATATTGCCCATCAAGACATAATGTCTGCTTAAAAGAAAAAGAGAAGAAAGATAGACACCTATGCAATCATTCAAACAGTTAAAAACAGACCACACCTTCAATCATGCTGGTCCTGGCAGACAAGGCCCGCCCACCCTGCTCTTACCAAATCCTGGTGAGAAGATGTCCCGCCTCCCCAGAGGCCAACCTCTTTTCTTCAGCCACCAGCCTCCTGCTCCCTCTTTACATAGAAAACAAAAGCACTTAAGACAGAACAGACTGAGTGGACGACTTGGTCTTTAAAAGCGGTAAGAATTTTCTTTGTTGAAACTTATCATATTTAGCCTTTTAAAATTACCCCGGAGAAGACTGAATGGATTCCCACAGACCTTAGATAGTTAACTTTAAGGGGACGTTTAGGTTTGTGCCTTTTAAAACCTTAACTTTTAACCTTGATTTTTTTTTTAAATCATAGTTATAAAAAAGAGAGGTCTTTCATTACATTCATAGTTGCCCGGCATAGGTTTTACTTACAAGCAATCCTGGCTATTTCTTCCAAGGGGAAATTTTCTGCTCTGCACAGGCAAGATAGAGAGATAGTACAATACCCAGACAGGGTGAGGGTGCAGCTCACACACCAGGCTCAGTGCTCTACCACCACTGCCATTCACGGTGAAAAGCAGGCTGGGGTTTGGTCCAGATGAACTGTAGGATAAATATTCCCTTCAAACGGGTACATTTAATCACTGTTTTATTAACGGGGTCCAAAGATTCAAAGTTGGCCTACTCTTTGAACTTGGGTTGCCCATGTCTGGCCAACCCTTCAAACCAAGGATGATTTCAGCTTTATGTCCCTTGAAGACCTGTATCTATCCTTGAGATGAGTTTTAATTTTTTTCCTTTTAAACACATTTTGTGCCAAGAGCAATCATTTCCCATCTCCTTCTCCCACCCTACCCCTCCTATCCCACTTCCTCGAACCTTCCAAGATCACTTTAAGATATCTTCTGTTCCCAGAGCACACTAATTAATTTGGCCCAGTGGGCTAGGTGTGAGGGAGAACTGTTCCCTGCCTTAAAAAAAACAAAACAAAACAAAACAAAAACAACTAACAGTTGCAGCTTATGAGGGAGTGTAAGGCTTAAAGCAAAGAAAATAGTACTTATATGTTTCTAATCAAGCCAGCCACTGATACAATGTTGGTCTGGGAATTCCTGGCTGCTGTTTCCTGTTCCTTATTTTCCCTGATCTGCCCTGGGCAGTGTGAGCAACTCCTTTTATTTGGTTTGTAGTCTACTGGAGCCCAGTGCAGGAGCTCAGTCCCAAACAATAACATCTTGTAACGTCTTGTAACATTATAAGTCACAAAATCAAACATACTATGATTATGTCCTTGGGAATATAATTTGCATGGCTGCTTTATCCTGTCAAAATGAACTTTTAATCATTATAGTCAATTTGCTCACCACAGCAAATGACAAGAAACAATCCAAATAACATCAAACGATAGAAGAAAGATAAATCAACTATAATATATTCACATGATTAAATACTATGTGATAATTATGTAGAATTATTAATTTAATAACAATTATATAGTACTTGTTTATAGTAATACCTATTACTATATAATAGTAATGACATACAATTCTTATGTTGTATTTAATTATGTAAATATATTACTATTATGTAGAAATGTAATGCATGATATAACATATTATTGTATATATTAGACACACATATATATTTAGTGCCAGTAATGCGGCTGAATTCAATGTCTGGGTGCTGTCCTTCAGCTTTTTTACTCAAAGCTCTACCACTTTGGTCACAGCTCTACTACTCTCCTTTTGATGGTTAATTGTAGATAAGAGTCTCCTGCCCTGGCTGGCTTCAAGCTTCAATTTTCAGATCTCAGCCTTCTGAGTAGCTGGGATTACAGGTGGCTCCCAGCCAACTACAATAGCTTTTAAAACTGAAAACTCCCACTCCATAGATGAACTTCACAGACCTTACATGGAGTGAAAGAAGTCAACCAAATGGCTTTGTTTGTGTGAAGTTGAATAAGCCAACTAAGCAACGGTGTGTGATTATCATGATTCTAACACCAATTACCAGTCAGAGTGTGGTTACCTTTGGAGTGGAATATTATTAGTGGGAGGAGTAGATCTTGATCTAGGTGGCAATTCTCTAGTGTACAGAAAATTAATCTTCCTTATTTTGCTTCCCAAGGTTTCAGCTACCCATGGTCAAGAATATTAAGTGGGACATTACAGAAACAATTGATAAGCCTTAAACTGTATACAGTTTTGTGCCTGATGAATCTTGTGCTTTCTGTCCTGCTCAAAACCTGTACCACCCCTTTAAGGCCCACTGTTTCCATGTAGACTATGCTACCTACCCTTCAGTCACTTAGTATAACACATTATATACTGGGCTAGGTCTCAGCCACCCTGGGAATGTTGGGGGTGGGGCTACTGCATCTGCTTTTTTACAATCACCTTTAGCCAAATATAATCCTTATGCCAAAGCGACATCTTTTTCCATCTTCCAATGTAGATATTAAAATCTGTTGAGCTGAGTACTTTATTGTATGTACTTATTGTAACTTAGACCTCAAACTAATATTTAAAAACAACAGCTGAGCTGGGTTCTGGTGGCACATGCCTGTAATCCTAGCTGCTCAGGAGGCTGAGATCTGAGAATCTTGGTGCTAAACCAACCTGTGCAGGAAAGTCTGTACTCTTATTAGGGCTTAGGCCCTGAGTTCAAGCCCCATGACCAACAAAAATAAATAAATAAAAATTAAAACAAACAGCTGGCAAACAGCCTGCCATGTGTTTTATTATGTTTTTGATTTTGCATAATCTGTATGATTGAATTTCACAAGGTATATGACATATGTCATAATTTTGTTTTCTACATTTCTAACCAGAAGACCATTTAACTCGTGGGGACATGGATTTGGTGCTGGATCAACTGCCTGCCACCCAGGTAGTGAGAGATTTGGAGGCTGGCATTGATATGCAAAGGTAACCCATGGCTTGGCCCCCAGGGAGAGGGCTGGGTCTCTGAAGGCTGCAGGTGTCTTTGGAGTTAGGAGTGGCTGCTTCAGTAGCACTGGCTGCCAGATACTAACTACTTGCCTTTCACTATGTCTGTTATTGTCTCCCTAGGGAGAGAAAAAAATACACCACCAGCTTAACTAAATATTTTTGAAAGCATGTTAAGATTTACTCAGGGGCTGGGAAGGTGGCTCAGTGGTAGAGCGCTTGCCTTGCATGCATGAGGTCCTGGGTTCAATTCCTCAGCACCACAAAAGCAGAAAAAAAAAGCCATAAGTGGTGCTGTGGCTCAAGTGGTAGAGTGCTAACCTTGAGCTGAAGAGCTGAGGGACAGTGGCCAGGCCCAGAGTTCAGGCCCCCAACCGGACCCCCCCACCCACACAACAAAAGATTTACTCAGAACTTCATGAACAGGAATTACCCCTCATCTGGGTCTCATGAAAGGGACCCACAAAGGAAGCCCGTTAGTATTAATGGATTTAATGTATTAAAAGCTAGTTCTGTATTCAGCTATATCTCATCACCACTCAAAACAGCATGGGCAAGCAACTGGGTGAACTGTCTGTGCAGAGTTTCATAGAACTAGATTTTGATTTCATTCTAAGACGGGCAATGTGGCTGCCCAAGGAAGGAGGGTCTGGGGTACATATGAGATATTTGATTTAATTAAGAAACATGTAGCCAGGCACTGGTGGATCATGTCTATAATCCTAGCTACTCAGGAGGCTGAGAGCTGAGGATGGTGGTCTGAAGCCAGCCTAGATAGGAAAGTCTTTGAGACTTATCTCCAATGAACCACCAGAAAACTGGAAGTGGCTGTGAACTGTGGCTCAAAGTGGTCGAGTATTAGCCTTGGGCAAACAAACAAACAAAAAAGCTCAGGGAGAGTGCCCAGGCCCTGAGTTCAAGCATTTGAGGATATTGGTATCCATGGGGGTCCTAGAACCATGGGTACAGAGGCACAGCTTCAGGAAGGGATCTGGGTATCAGCTGACATCTGAGCTCCTTCTGGTCCCACATGGTCCCTTGGGAGAATCCTCTTTCCTTTTTGGGCTTCACAGGTCCCTCGGCTAGAAAGTGAAGAAGGAGACTGGGCACCACCGTTGTCACTGGCCTCCTCCGCTCATCTGAAGGAAATGTGAGCGTGGCACTTGACAGAAGATGCCAGAAGGAGCCGCCTTGCCACTTCCTGTTGCTGCTCTTGGGGCTTTCAGTCTTCTTCACTCTGTCCTGCCAAATGCAAGGGAGAAGGGGCCAGAACCCCTCATCCCAATTTTTTTTCCATGCAGGACCAATCCTATCTGCTAAGGGGCCAAGTAAAGAGAGGAGAATGCTCTAACTCCTCTCCACACAGAGGAATGAGGGCATGCCCATAGAAGCTAACATCAAGTTTGTCCACATGAGTGATCTTGTCTACAATCAGGCTTCCTCTGCCCTCTGACTCACCTCTACACAGAGGTCTCCTACTCCTGCCAATCATCTGACCTCTACCCTTACTCTTCCCAGATCTCTCCCTCCATCCCTCCCATATTCCTTCTCTTGAGCAGGATCCCGGCATTTCCCTGCACACAGGCCCAGAGCTCTTGTTCCTCTAAGCACTGACAGAAATGTCCCTAGGGAAGAATGTGCCTGCCCCACCTATTTGGTCAAGGCTGCTGTTACTCTCACTAGGCTGTTCAGAGTCCCCTGTACCTCTTTCTTGTCTTCATGAGATCAGTGGCTTCCTGCAAAGGTTAGGCCTCTCAGTGACACCCTGGCACTTTCAGACCGGCTCCATAGGGAGATGCAGAAGGGGTTTGTCACCAGAGGGTGGACTAAGGGGTTCCCTCAGCTTCCAAGTTTCTATGAAAAATCACAGATCCTTGAGCTCCACACATGAAGAGAATTTCAGGAGCCCAGCTCTGGTGGCTCACACCTATACTCCTAGCTACTCAGGAGGCTGAGATCTGAGGATTGAAGTTGGAAGCCAGTCTGGAAGCCAGCCCTGGCAGGCTTAGCTTCAATAAACTACTAAAAAGTCAAAGGTGGTGCTGTGTCTTGAGTGATAGAGTGCTAACCTTGAACAAAATAGATCATGGACAGTGCCCAGTCCCTGAGTTCCAGCCCCAGGGTTCCCCCCCCCATACACACACACACACACACACACACACACACACACACACACACACACACGCTTTACCCTATCGATCCTGCCTCAGGCGCAAAGTTGGTAAAGGTAGAACATGCTGAAGCCATAGGTTAGATGCAGAGTCAGGCTTTTCCCTCATCTTTATTTCCCTCATCCACAGAGAGGAAGAAGATGAGGGCCGCACGGGTGAAGAGGAGGTGCTACAAGATGAAGAAGGTCTGTCAGCTAGAGAACAAATGTTTTTGGAAGAGTTCCCCAGATGGAAACAGGATCAAAAAAGAGTCATTAGAAAGCTCCTCAGACTCGCAGACGAGATTGACGCAAACCACCAGAGAGCCACCAAGACCAAAGTGATTTCCAGCTCCACCGCCGTCATCTCCGGGATCATGAGCATCCTAGGTTTAGCCCTCGCCCCAGCAACAGCAGGAGGGAGTCTGATGCTCACAGCTGCTGGCCAAGGCTTGGGGACCATAGCTGGGATCACCAATATAGTGAGCGATGTGTTCAAAAATTCTCGAAATAAAAAAGCCCAAGCTCAAGCCAACAGCCTCATGGGCTCTGAAGACAAGGAGTTCCAGCAGGCTGGCGGAGGGAAGACAGCCTATGTTACAGCTCTGGGTAAGATTGTCTATGCTTGTGGGAATGCCGTGGACAACATCAAGAGGAATGCCCAAGCCTATTGCCTTGCACGAACCCGCCCGCACTTGGCCACTGCCGCCAAGCAACTCCTGAAAACTGGCCAAGTCTCAGCCAAAAGCAGCAGACAGGTGCAAAAGGCCTTTGAGGGAACAGTCTTGGCCATGAAAAAAAGGGCACTCATGTCGGGAGGGGTGATGGCTATTATCTTCCTATACCAGGACTCGGTGGCTCTCGCAGATGATTTGAAGCAACTGAAGGAGGGAACAAGGGCAGAGCTTGCCAAAGAGCTCTGGGACAAGGCTCGGGAGCTGGAGGAGCTGGTGGCAGAATGCACCTACTACTATGAGAGGTTACAGAAGAAGGTAGAGACTGGATTCAAGGGGGCTTTTTACTGGGACCTGTGGGAGTCAAGGTGGACCAGACAGAGCAGTGTGTGTGTGTGTGTGTGTGTGTGTGTGTGTGTGTGTGTGTGTGATGGATATTGTAGGGATGGTCCTCAGGATGTAGTCTATGGTGGCCGAGGAGATCCAAATAGTATCAAGTATCCCTTAGAGAAGAGGAGGTCAGTACTGGTCATGCCTTCTTAAAATTTTTTTTTTGTTGTTGTTGTTGGTCATGGGGCTTGAACTCTGGGCCTGGACGCTGTCCCTGAGCTCTTCAGCTCAAGGTGAGCCCACTACCACTTGAGCCACAGCGCTACTTCCTAAAATTTTTTTTTAATCCCTCAAGGTTTTTAAAAAACCCTTCTACTGGGAAGGGGGTCTTTCTGATTTTACAGAGACACTGAGAATCCTGGACTTGATGGATTGTGTCCTATCAGACTCCCAGCCTGGTTTGTAGAGGGGCCTTCAGCCTAGGGGAGGGCCTAGGGTGGTGATCCTATCCTAACTGGTGGGACTGCTGTCCTTAAAAGATGAGAAGGCTGGGCACTGGTAACTCACACTTATAATCCTAGCTACTCAAAAGTCTGAGATCTGAGGATAACAGTTTGAAGCCAGCCCACGCAGGACAGTCTGTGAGACTCAGCTCCAATAAACCACCAAAAAAAAAAAAAAACCAGAAGTGGAGGTACAGCTCAAATGGTAGAGTACCAGCCTTGAGTGACAAAGCTAATGAACAGTGGCCAGACCCTAAGTTCAACCCCCAACAATGGCACACATAAAAAAAATTGACACCTAATAATTGCATTGCGTTTTATTTTTTTCCTGCAGAAACTCAAGAAAGAAAGCTTCTGAGCTCCTGTCTGGAGGGAACCAAGGAGAGTCCTCAGCCTATATCCAGATGTGGGCAAGCAGAATCCCTGGGTACAGGAGGGCTGAAGGCATGCTAAGGCCCAGGACCTCTGGGCCAGGTAAAAAGCAACCAAAGTAGGAGCCAAAAGCTGGTGGAGGAGGTGCCCAGAGACCTGCCATTTGGGAGGTCCAAGAGAGTTCCTTGGTCTTGAGAGGAACCATTTCCACCAAGAGGGCACTGCCAAGCCTGCTAGTGAAGCTCCTTCACCCCTCTGCTACTACTGATACTGTGCCCATGTTCCCAGTCCCTCGCCTGCCCTACCGCTGGTCCACTTTAGACAGGTCTTGTGTCCTGCCAGCCTGTAAAATGAGGGGCAGGAGAGGTCCTGGGGAAAGGTCAGCTCTGTGTCAGGTCATCTCTCTGTCCCTACCTTGCAGCTACTGGCTCAGAGCCAGATGCACACACAAAGGATGTCACTGGAACCTGCTCAACCAGATTCCATCCAGAAAGAGAGAGGCCCAGGATCCCCTCTTGTACCCTAAGTTCTTAGTATTCTTTCAGGACCTTACAACTTGTTGGTGGATTTCTCCTGGATGCCTGGTTCAGCTCTCTTAATTATATTTTTGCATACCTTTACTAGAGCTTGAACTCAGTGCCTAGTGTTTTTGTTTTGTTTTGTTTTTTTCTCAAGGCTGGCACTCTGTGACTTGACCCATGCTTTCTAGATCCTGTGTGTGTGTGTGTGTGTGTGTGTGTGTGTGTGTGTGTGTGTGTGTATGGAGATGGGAAGGGAAAACTGGAAGAGAGCAAGGGGAAGGGGTTAAGGGGTAACACTGTCCAAAAATAGACGTACTCATTTCCTGATTTATGTAACTGTAACCCCTCTGTATATCACCTTTATAGCATGCATATAAATTGCATAAAGAAGATTTACCTTTAAAAAAAAAACAGAAAAAACCCTTTGGTGTGTGAATACCTGTCACATCCTGAATAATTATCATCCAGTACTAATACCTGGCACCAAGTAGTCACACAGCTCTGGGCTTTGGTTGGTGGAATGGCTGAGAGAATGGGAGGGATGAGTGGGGCTCTGAGAGTCACCTGTGACACTCACTGGCCGAATCCTACGACTGAGTTTTGGTTTCCTTGGCCATGCAAGAAGGATAACCAGAGGTCAAATCCAGGACTCCATGTGGGCCATGACTTACAGGGCCTGTCTATAAGAAATGCATCCTGGGGGTACCCATGAAGGAAATCTAAATCCTTGCTAGGCCACTGAGGCCATACCAAAGTAGGTGGGAGAGGAACTTTCCTCCTACCACCCCTCCCTGGTGCCTCTTCCCAACTCACGGCCCAGCCAGCTGTCTGCATTCTGCCTTCCCACCTTCCTCTCCCACTCTTCCTCTCCTGGCCTCTTTCAGGTGTACCCTCCTACTCTCTCCCCACCAGTTAAATATCTATACTCCTTGCTGAGAAACCCCATAAACGAATCCAAGCTATAAAACCTTTGCTCCGCCCTGCCCAGAGAACTGGGTACACTATACCCCTCTGTCTAGCTGCCCACCCACCATTTTTTTTCTTTAACAATGTCCTAATAAACCTATTCAGGGCCACCCACCCCATCAGGCTCCCGGCCCCTACTTTGGGTCCCCAAGATTATTCATGGTGCTCTGAAGGAATGTGGACCACGCCACCATGGTGCCGTCATCAGTCTGAGATGTAATTTTACTTTGGAAAGGTAAGGAATGGCACCCACTCATTTCCCATGGGGAAAGCTCTACCACTTGAGCCACACCTCTACGACTGGCTTTTCACTGCTAACTGGAGATAAGAATCTCCTGCATTTGTCCATCTGGGCTAGCTTTGAACCATGATCCTCAGATTTCATTCTTCTGAGTTGCTAGGATAACAGGCATGATCTACCAGTGCCCCGCTTCCTTTTTTTTAAAATTAGTACAAATAACTTGCATGCACATCTTTACCCATATTTCTCTGAGTACCTGCCACTTGTTTGTGTATGAGTGAATGTCTAGAAGTGGTCTGCTGAGCTCCAAGCATGTGTGTGGTTAATCTGAGGAACATCCCCTCCAAGGTCTGTCACGTGACATTTCCAAAGAGAGAGGGTCTGCTCAGGCACAGCCTGCTCTTTCTCACCAATACTTCATTTTTTTGCTTTCTCCAGGTCAAGCAGCTAGGTCTAAATTTGCATTTTTTGGGGGGGGGAATAATGACGTAAAGTTTTATGCCCTATGCTTACTGCCCTTTCTACTTTTTTTTGTGGGACACATCTTCAAAGAACAGGAGAAATACCCATTTACAGAAAATGAGAACCAAATGACATGTGAAAGATCAGATCAAAGACTTGATAATGATTGTTAATTTTCTTCATAAAAGAACTGGCCTGGGGTAGGATAAGGAAGACCCACTTTAGATGTGGGGACCAGACAGGAAGTCATATTTAGTAATCACATTAAAGACTGCAGATTCTTGGTTGCAGGGTATTACCTGGTACCTGGTGAGGTGTGTGTGTGTGTGTGTGTGTGTGTGTGTGTGTCCAACCTGGGGCTTGAACTAAGGCCACTGTCCCTGAGTTTTATGCTAAAGGCTAGTGCTCCATCAATTGAGCCACAGCTCAACTTCCAGCTTATTGGATATACAAGTCTCATGGACTTTCCCCACCCAGGCTGGCTTCAAACCTCAGTTCTCAGATCTCAGCCTCTTGAGTGGCTAGGATGACAGGAATGAGCCAGTAGCACAGGCTCTGGTGAGTTCTTTTAAGCTTTCAGAAAGAGCAATGCTCTTATCATACTTGTCCTAGAAACAGAACAAAAGCAAAATGTCTTTGGGCACATGGTTATAAGTACATCTAACAGCAGTGATAAATAAGATCACAAGAAAACCACAGTTCTAGCTCATTTCTGACTCCAAGATGAACATATTGAAGAGAATACTAGACAATATAGTATTTCTAATAAAAAAAATCTGCCATGACCAAGTCGAGGTTTTCACAGTCAAAATGTGGAAATTGCCAGGCACCAATGGTTCAGGCCTATAATTCTAGCTATTCAGGAGACTCTGATCTGAGGATTGTTATTTGAAGTAGCCTGAGCAGAAACGTCTGTGAGACTTTTTTTTTTTTTGTCTGTGAGGCTCTTATCTCCAATTAACCAGCAAAAAACTAGAAGCAGAGATGTGGCTCAAGTGGTCGAATGACAACCTTGAATGAAAAAGCCAAGCAAGAGTGCAAAGTCCTTAGTTCAAGCCTCAGTGCTGCACAAAAAAATATGGAAATTTATACACAAAGTACACTATGTTCATGGCATAAACTTTAGGAAAGAGAAACTATGATCATCTGATTACAGTCTGAAAATTTAGCACTTAATCCTAATAAAAGTCTTTCAGCACTGGATTAAAACTCAAGCCTTATCACGATGAAAAATGGATTTGCAAACCAGCTGCCGAAAGTGAACTATTAATCAATTCCATCTTATAAAATACTTTGAGAATTCCAGCCAATGTCATAAGATATGGAAGCAAAAAAAAAAAAACTTGGAAATAAGGGGAAAGCACCACTAGTTATACATGAACTATTTGCGTAATGTTCCAAAGAAATAAATGTTAGCCAGAAATGTAAAGGAACTTGAACTCTGATATGATAGGAAATGGAAAATGTAGAACTTTGGGAATTACTAGGTACTCAGCTCTCAGAGAGGTGAGCTGCTGTGTGAATACTGAGCAAATCAGGTCCTGAGTTCAAGTCCTGGTCCTGAACAACAAAAATAAACCATTGCTAGAAAATAAGAGAGAATTAAAAAAAATCATCCTTAATTTTACAGAGATGAGAACGTGATTAGCTAGCAAAGTCATAGCCCAAGACCAGAAGAAGGGGACCCATGAGCCTTTACTAAAGATGTGCAAACCCATAGTTTCACTCATTCAACAGATTTTAATAAATTGAGGCCTAAGGTGGGGCTGAACATTTAAGAAGTGGTTGAACGTTATGTTGACTTACCTATGCTGGTAAGAGTTGAGTGCTGCTGGTGACTCACATCTGTAATCCTAGCCACTCCGGAGGCTGAGCTCTGAGGATTGCTGTTTAAAGCCAGCCTGGGGAGAAAAGTGTGTGAGACTTTTATCTCGCATTAAGTACCAAAAAGCTGGAAGTGCAGTTATGGCTCAAGTGGGAGAGTGCTTACCTTGAGCAAAAAAACCTCAAGGATAAAATCCAGGTCCTGAGTTCAAGCTCCAGAAGAGAGGAGGGGGGAAGGGGGAGAGGGAGAGAGAGAGAGAGAAGGAAGGAGGGAGGGAGAGAGGGATAGAGAGAGAGAGGGAGGGAGAGGGAGAGAGGAAGAGGGGGAAGGGGGAGAGAGTGAGAGAGTGAGAGAGAGAGAGAGAGGAGTCAGGGAGGACCCACTCTCAGGAGAGGGGACTCAGTTGGGCTAGGAAGGACCAAGACTGTGTTTTCAAAAGATGGGAGGAATGTTCTTTCTACTCCACACCCGGGGTATCTCTTCCGCCTTCTCAATAACCAAGGGCAGATGAGGAGATACTGGGGCTCATATGCCAATGTTTCACCTGCCTTGTCTATCACAGATCCCCAGCTTAGGTCAGCCTCCAGTGTGACATTGAGGGTATCATGTGACCCACAATCTCTGCACTAACAGTGTTTAGGGCCTGGGAAGCTATTCATGAAGACAGGAAGGCCAGGTATATTGAGAATCCCTTACTCCTCCCGGGGTGCAGTGGGTCCTGGGGATATAGAGGCGAGTATGCAGTGAGGAGAAAAGCTGGTCTCTGATGACTGTGCCACCTGCCATACGCCCCTGGGCTTGTTGCCTTGTCACTGAACGCTCTGCGTTTCCAGCCAGATGGCTATTCATTCTCTCATTCATTCTTTCACTTGGTGCACAGATGTTTGCTGAGCACACCTCCGTGCTGGGCACCCTGCCAGGTCCAGCAGCGACTAAGACAGACAAAGCAGGTGTGGAAAGTGAACAACGCCTGCCCCCCCTCCCAGCCCGGCACCATCTGGGGATTCTTGGGGCCATCGACTAACTAGTGCTGATGACAATCCTAAAAGACACAATCGTGAACACCATAATCCCGAATGTGGAAATCCTAAAAGATCAAAATCCCTGCAAATCTAAAATCCTGGAAAATTAAAATGCTGAAAATCCGATCCCAAACACTGAAATCCTGATAATGGCAATTTCTTCTGTAAAGAATGCTATTTGAGGGATAGAATGTCTAATTCTGAGACATGGAGTATTAGTTCATTTCTGGTTGTATGCAGGATAGTTACTGAGTTGCTTATTTAGTTGTGTATTTCTGCTTTTCACTTGTAGCACCAGGCCTTCCTTTAAAAAACATTGGGCAGGAGGCTGGGAAGGTGGCTCAGTGGTAGAGTGCTTGCCTTGCATGCATGAGGCCCTGGGTTCAATTCCTCTGTACCACATAAGCAGAAAAAGCTGGAAGTGGAGCTATGGCTCAAGTTGTAGGGTGCTAGCCTTGAGCTGAAGAGCTGAGGGGCAGCAACCCAGGCTCAGAGTTCAGGCCCCATGACCGGCAAACAACAACAAAAATAAAAAAACAAAAAATGTTGGGCAGGCGGGGGTCTGGTGGCTCTTGACCATAAGCCTAGCTCT